AGGGAAGTAATTTAATTTGTGATGCGGTGTATTCATGTTTTATTTTTCACAGGATACACAGCATCACTTGTGATAATAACTATGATACTACACAAACGTCAGAGCATGTTCTAGAGTTCCGTCATAATACGTAATATTCTGTATATGTTGGTATACAAACTTAACAAGCTATAACATTTTCGAAATAATATGGTCAATCTATAATACACAATTATTCTCTGCAACTCTGAGGTGGGTAAAGATCTGCCTCACTGATGTGACTATTAATAACAGAGGAAAATTCTAAGTGAACAATTGTCACATCAGGTAGACAAATCTTCACAAAATCGTGTAGTGGTTTGAATGATATCTCTGGCAAGTAATACAGTGTAATTTGCATAAACAGAGACGTATATTGTGATCCAATTGATACCACGTGACAAGTTCACTCGGCTCGGTGTACTAGAATATGTAAAATGACAATACCTATCATACATAATTGGCAACCCAGCTTCCTTCCGTCTCTGTTGTTCGTCAGTTAACATAATGTCTCCTTGATAGAGATCTGTAATAAAAACCATAATGAATTGTATCAAATCTGTTCTCAACAAAGAATAACGAAACTTATAACTAGTGATTACTTGAGAATTATTGGTAAATAATCACTTAGCCTGCTGTTGATTTTCTCAATATTTGAAAAGGTTGATCCAATATCTGCATGTCTATCAGTTTCATTCAATATGAACTGCTTCCTGCAAGAACATCGACAGACAGGCTTGTTGAATTACAGATGCATGAGAGGCATAATGTCTTTGAGAAAATGATACATCGAATGATGCATATTAAATACAACTACTATTTCGATACTTATGACCGTACACAACTGCGATAAAGACTTTTCGTTTTCGACATTGTGAAATTATTATTTTTGGGGGAAAAAACCCTGAAAAAATGATTTTGACAAGATTATTTTCATAATTACCGATTACACACAAATGTTACCGAAAAAGATAATTGCTATATTCTCTATATTTTTGCATTTTATTTGTCTTGAATTGTTAATGAAAGAAGCTGAATGAAACTACAAACTATGTAGTGTGTTCAACAGCTCATGTATGAAGAATAACTTCAATAAATATGATTTTACTTAGTAAAAATACTGTATTTTTCTGCATAAAAACAAAATAATTTCACAATGTCGAAATCGAAAAATGTCTTTAACGCAGTGTTGCACGTAAACTCAATAGAAAATATAATAAAGAAATATCAACATTTAAAGCATTGTTATTTCATATGGATGTAGAAGATATGCCTTACTCTGATTGTGCTGACATTCTTGTATCCATTTGTTCCCTAGGACCTCTGGATAAAATACCATAAACTACAAACACGTCTGAAACGTAGTGCAAACAACTATTAAGGTTACCATACACAAAACATCACATAAATATATAACAAATAATTAGAAATGATTGTGAAACTACTATTCAAACATATAAGAAAACTTTATATATTTTTTAATATTCAGTTCAGTCTACTTTTGTTTAAGTGTACGGATGTTTATTGAGTGATGTATTATTATAAATAATATATACTAATATTCATATTGTTGTGTTGTTACCGGGTCCAATACCTATCCGATCTTTATAATACCATGTATTTGGTGGCTTGGGTAAAATATACTCGAAGTTTAATTTGAACACACAGCTAGTACTATTCAATTCCCGAATTTGTCCTATTATGTGCGGAAATATCATCTATCCACCCATTCATTCGCCGCCTATCGCCAGGTATATATTTTCATCACTGAGGAATCTACGGTGATTGTAGTGATGAGAGGCGGGCAGGCGTAAAACATATGTCACTTCAAAATGTTTCAAAGTGTTTCAAAGTATCCCAGATAGGAATTTATGTATTTTATTTTTTCAGTCATATATACTCCCCAAATCATTGGATTTCCACTTATTGAGTAGAAAGCATACTCAGATGGTTTATGACCTACGAAGACCCAGGCCATCAGCGACGGTAACGAAAATATTGAAAAAAAAATAGATAAAAGTTTGCAGCAAAAAATCAAAATTAACCAGCTAATCTTAAATAAGAAATGTATTTGTATTGAACTTGATATGTAGTCTTAGTGATTAGTGATTTTGTACTAAAAATATGCCTAACAGGGAGCTCTGTGAATCACTTTTTTTCTGCGTGACATGTTTTTCGTGATTGAGTGCAGAGTGATTGACCAGTTAGTTGCAATTCTCAGCCTGAGGGCCTAAATCTGATGAAAACATTGTTAGTGTTTAATTCGATTAAAGGATCAAACCCATATGATATCAAAGACATTGAGAGTTTCATATGATCTGTCTGTCTGTGACTACATCAATCGCGGAAATGTCTCTTTCCATACTCAGACATACTTCTAGCAATATTGCCAGTCACTCAGCTAGAAAAGTCTCTCTTAACTGTCAATTATCTAGGTTTGTCATACTCATGGAAAGAACGTGCGTTGGAGTTGTTGCTGACATACCGATCTGGCTAGCTAGAACTATGGAACCATGGTCTCGATGGCCAATTTGTTGTGACTAATGAAATAATGGCAATTGTGGGAATGCAAGCATATCAGCTCTTCTGTCATATGTGCAAAGGGAGGCAACTGAGTTGCGCTTGAATTTTTTGTCTGAGGCAAACATGATGATCAATGATGTTTCCCACACGGACAACAGTATGTTTGCTTGTCCTTGGATTGGAATATACAGTCATGTTCACTGTACGTTACATCTCGATCTAGGGCCAACTCTGAAAGTAAGAGTTTAATTCATTGACATACGTTTTGGTAAATTAAGTATAACCTTTTTCAGTGCAAATTATTAATTTAACTAATTAAAAATTGTTTAAATGGTATTATTCCTACCTGAGTTGAACGCCATGCACCATATCAATATATTAAGTCTCCACGTAGCCATAACTGTATAGAATAAAGTACGTTTAAGTAGTAAATTCCCAGTGTGATTTCTGCAGCTGTGCTGTAAAGGTTACCACATCATAATGAACTGAGCTTGACTGTCCCCGTCTTATACTCAATATGTAACTGTAGCAATGCACACAGGCTTGGATGTAGAAGAATGTTATGTGTCGAAGTGGCGATGTCATTTCTCATCTACATGCCAAGCACACTAAGACCGTAGCATAATATATTAATTAAGTATCAACACTGTATTGCCTGAATCTGAAATTTCTAAATTATTAAAATCGAAATATTACTTGAGCAAGAATAAAAGCTATAAAACCTTTTCTAAACGCAATTTATAAGTTCATTATGGTGTGGGACACAATGCATATTTTAGCATTGAATTGAACATTGAATTTCCTTCCTCTACGTTATTTTTGATACTGTTACCTGCAGGAAACACCAAATTCACAAAGTCGTCCCGGTTCGGAACCTTTATGTATGTGCTTATCCAATTATTATCAATTATTCGATGTCTCGAAAGTACGTCTGGATCGTCTAACCTCCGTAGACGCCGAGATTCTCAACATGATCCCACCCAAACACCCGGAATTCGATGAAACAGATTTGTACGAGATCGAAGCAAGACGACACGACATCTCAAAGTTTCATACTACGATCGCAGTGAACCCCGGAAGTTTACAAGCTGCAACTGCATGATAGTAAACCATGTTCAGCCTACACAAGTTCAACAATCACCAAGATTTAAATCTATTTAGCTGCCGAAACATTTCTAGGAAATCCTATTCTCTGGACTAAATTCTACGATACGTGCAATGCCGCTATTCATTCGGACAATCAGTTGTCAAATGTCCACTCATCACATATCTCTAAAGTTTCCTCGTAGGCAAAGCTGAGCGACTTAATGACGGACTTGCCACGTCCGACGTAAACTATTGCCTTTGAACTACTGAAATTCCAAAGAAACGGTATGGCAACAAGCATGACATCATTAACGATCACATGACAGTTTTATGGGAGCAAGTGCCGCTACAGAACAATCCATGTAGTCTCAGACGATTCCACGACGAGTTGGAAACCGCCATTCGGGGATTGAAAAATCTCGATGAGGACGGAATCAACTATGGCGAGTTACTTATACCTCTACTATTACAAAAAATACCGACTGATCTCCAATGTCAACTTGCCCGTAACAACTCAAACAACTAATGGACATTATTCCATCGAAGAAAACTCATGTCAAACGAGATACGCGCTTTATCAATCGGCGAAGCTTCAAATCTCGATAGCCAACCGAATTTAACCGTCGATACGTTCTACGCAAGAACTACATCCCGCGAATCTACCTCTTTTAAAAACAATTATTCTGCACCCTATGGTTATAAACCGACAAATGGACATGATTCTGCAAATAGTTATAATCCTGCTAAGCACTCCGTACTGTGTGTACTGCCGTGGAATTCACAACCCCCTTCCATGCGGTTAAACGAAAACAACTTCCAAGCCTTCTGAAGCTCGAACTGCAAACGTCAGTGTGAATTTCTTACACGCGTCACGCAAGCCGTCACAAAGCTCGTATCAGCGGATACGTAGTACACCTGATCCACAAACATGTCGTGTCTTACTAAAGACAGCCACAATTCCAACAACGAATGGAGGAAAAACTACACCCGCAACATTTCTATTCGACGACGGGGCGGATCGTTCGTTCGTCACAAAACGATTTGAACAAGCCATCGATGCTAAAGTACACAGTTCAGAAGTTCTCAACCTGAAATCGTTTTCAAATCCGCGTACTAGATTCAAGACAATCCTGTGTACAGCTGCGTCAACGCAACGACAGTCTCACGCTTATATACCTCCTTTACGTGGACGAAATCTCCGACAATCTAACGAACAATGTAAACACTGATATCAAGCAACTTTCTTATCTGCGCATCCAAGTTCCGATGAACCCACTATGACGATCGACATTTTAATAGGTGTGGATCGGTATTTTGATTTTTTGGAAATCATGTCAATTAAGACCACGGTCCAACAGCTTTCAGCTCGTGTCTCGGATTCTTAATATCAGAACCCATCTACACCGGTAAGCCACGTTGGAAACACGTACAAGCATTTCATCTAACCGCAATCCCGTCCAACAATGAACGTTGCTTCGTTTTGGAAACTGGAATCGATCGGTATTTGTGATGCAATAAACACCCCGGAAAAGACGACAACCCACGCCGAACAATTCAAACACAATACAGAAAATGTTTGTCCGAAGAAAATGATCGTTTTATCGCCAGGTCACAACAGAAGTATAACCACAATCCATTACCGACAAATTCTGACATAACAGTGAATCATTTACTAACTGGCAACACCTATGAGCCGATCAATGCTATAAACGGGTCCATTTCACCCAATACAATGACGAAACACGACTCCAATTTTAAAACGACCACGGAATACCAAGCGGATCCACCAATAGGCATCCAAATATCATCAGTGCTAATGATTACAACGACTATGACAAACTGTTGCAAATATCAGCGTTTGTACTTCGATTAATAACATTAATCGCCGACTTCGATGGATTACTGATGACAATACAAAATTGACTCGTGATATGTGCCAACAAACCGTACCTTCCGCAGCCGAAATAATTAATGCAGAAACTATCTGGATCTCACATATCCAACGTATAGAATATGCGAACATTATTTCAACCATACACAGAAATGACAAGAAACTCGGCCCACTGAATAAACAGTTACAATTATTCATTGGATACGATCAACCAATACAACTAGGCCACCTATTTCATATTTGTGGAGTGGACTACGCTTGTGCCTTGTACGTGAAAAACCCTGCCGTTAATAATACTACCAAGACATACGTATGTCTGTTTACGTGCGCTGTGAGTGATACATCTTGAACTTGTTCTAAGACATGACTACTACTTCTTTCATGTAATAGGCGATTCGCTGCCCGCCGATCAACCCCATCCATGCTAATCTCAGACAACGCGTCAGCTGCAAGTGAACTTCGGGAAATCATATCGAACCCAGAAGTGAAATTCATGCTATCAGATCATCGCATCACGTGGAAGTTCATACCGAAACGCGCATGTGACAGAATCATCACATGTCTACCCTGTGCCGTATCAGATCTCTCAGATTATTCACCAAATAAGCACGCAAAAGTGAACCGACGATATGAACATTTGACCAATTTACAGCGGACATTCTGGCAACGCTGGGCTTCTGAGTAGAAGAGAACACTATTAAGCTGAATGGCATCGTCCTTTTTCACGACGATGTCCGCAAACAAGTAAATTGGCAATTAGCACGGGTAACGAGACTACTGCCAGGTAATGATGGGCTGACCCGTACCGCTGAAATCAAAACTAAATTCGGAGTTACAAAACGACCAATCGCTAAATTGTACAATCGACCTCACTTCAACATACGAATTATCGACGTTACCCCAAGAGGATACTTCAATGGAAAACTGCAAATTTACACCCAGCGCCTCATTAGAAATGTGTACGGAAACATCACACAAACACAGTGCTCGCTTGGACCTGATCGAATGTGTACGATAGACAGCCACAACCTTAAATGTGAAATACATACATACATACATACATATCATAACTGGGAGTAGTTTAATAATTACACAATCAGTAGTATAGACGGCACATAACTACGATGGATGTTTTTAGATAAAAAACAATATGTTACATATGCGCGTGCTCATATTCGAAATGTTTAGTTGAAAACTTAATATTGTACACTGGTTACTACTGCACATCCCGGTCTCCAACGTTGTATATATTTATATACAGCGAGATTGGCAAAGTAATGTTCTGTTTTAGAAAGCTAGTATACTAGTATACAATAAATCAAGCACTCACCTGTTAAACTTCGTACTACCAGCACACTGAACAAATTTCACAATGTGTCGGTATTTTGAAACCAACTATAATTATTATATGAATTCAGGTTTAAAATAAAATGAACATATGTCAAGATCATTTGCTTTATTATCGTTAATGAAGTTTGACGTTGTGTTGATTGTGTTCATGTGTCAAATGACACATTAAATAGTTTAATTATACACTATAAGTTATATTGTAATTTGTACACACACATTATATGGATTATCATAATTATAGATCAGCATTAATTCAGAATCCAGATGTATTAATTTGTGAAAACGTACACCTAATTTCACTGTGTACACTATTTCAATTTATAGTTAATAGATATATACACAAGCAACGGCCATTGAACGCATTAGTATTATCCGATAGAAAGAATAATTGTTGTCCATACAATCGAACACCCGCTTCAAAAGTCGAAGATACCTGCATTCCCATCGTTATGATTTCCGCATGACATTTTAAAGTGAATGCGTCTCGTTCAGTGGGTTTGGTCTCGTGTCAGTGTCTACCGAGGAAGGAGTGTTTTCTTTCCTTTACATACCAATCATGGGACTGGTGCAACGACCAATATAATACGATGGCAGTGTATGTTTAGTACATTACTCCATAAGATTACTTGAATAACTTCAACTAGTTACGGCATATGTCGTTCAAATTTCTTCCAAACAAGATAATGTATGTTCTGGAGAGTGTAATCTTCAAGTGAAAATTAAAAGAATTGAACCTTCTTATGTATCAGATGATGCGAACAGAATAAAAAATGTTGATGTACGAACGGAATATCTATCACATGTTAACACATTGGATATTCAAGATAGGTGGTGCAAACATTGTTTCACTAATCAACTCACAAATGTCATCTGTCTAACATGTAATGTGGCAGTCTCGTTTATTTTTCATAGATTACGGATTAAACGTACTAACCACCACGGCAAAAATCATGCTTGAAGCCACGTTTTTTTCCCAAATAGTGGATACTTTCATTCACCTCGAACATTGACACCAAGTTTGAAGTTAAGAAATGCCTGACACTAAAAGAATACGATTTACCAATCTACATGTTATATGCACATAAGAAAAACTGGTGATAATAATCTTAATTAATTACACGTTTACTCGAAGGCAACAGTGTAGATTTACAGAAATAAATAATTGACAATGGATTACATGACCAAAAATGGTATAATTCCATTAATTCGGTGAGACTTTTCAAGTACATTAAAAGCCATTCACACACTGTCCAGTTGCTAGCCCTGAGTACAGTTCTGTAGGTTGGCCTCATTCCGCTGATCAGTCAGTCCCACAGTCCTAAGAAGTATGTACCCAGGGCTATCCGGGTGCTTGGCAGCTCGAGTAGCAAATCATCAATCATAATTGTATCAAGAGTGAGACGGTAAATTTGTATTGATCTGATCAGTCTTTACAGAACAGTATGTGTAAATTTTGATGTTAGCCATCCAAAGTACTAAATCAGCCGGTGTAAAAGTCGCAAACACCACAATACGTTACATATGGTTTACATAGTTTGGTGGTTGCAGGTTATAATGCTCTATCTGCGAGCACTCATTTACGTTCGCATACACAGTTCATGCAGTTATCTAAATAAAAAATTGGAACGCTTGTATGAAATAACAACATACAATGTATGAACATAAACAATCATTTCACGTGATATTCTAGAAAACTGAAAGGGTATGTAAAACTATATTGCAACTATATTAATATGATAAATAACATGCCACATGACAACAAAATGTTACGGATTTGGGGGTTTCTATTTTCAGAAAATTGCTCATATTGTTAGACTAAAATCCGTGGTCCTCAAGTAGTGAAGTTTGAAAGCGTAAAACGCGTTCAATCTCATACAATATGATACAATCCGTAACGAGGAGTGGTTAGTGGGCGAGTAATTCCTGGAGATGCCTGATGAAGAGCTTCAAAAATGATAATTGTGAAGTAACGTAGTAGCGATCATTCATCAACGAATATATATATATATATATATATAATTCATTACACACAAAGGCGTTCAATAATGCATAATGCATACTACAGTATAATTGTACCCACTGGTATACGTATCTGAATTTGCTATCGTAATCGTATCGCCGTCATACTGGTAACCACGTAACTTCGATCATAGACGTTAAGAGTCGCACTCTTATTGATGTTGCAATCGCTCTTAATCGTAACAACAATCAGGTAAACGTACTCGCATGTATGTGGCCGTCACTCTAATCATGTAATTATATAGTAGCTATAATACATGAATACTTGTAGTCTAAACACTAAAACTATAGCTATAATTATAACTACATTCTTCGGTGAAGTCAAAACGTAGCTAGCACAGAAATTTGTCCAAGAAAGCAATTGTTATATTGTCTATACAATGTAAAGTCAATAATCTTACAATATTCAACTGTCTTACATGTAGTCCTGTTCCACTTATTCACCTATTCAACGGTAAAGTACGTAATCCAGGCAAACGCGCACAAAGTTCGGAAATCGCGCCTTCAACGTCAAATATTGGCTTTAATGTGACTCTAAATAACAGGGGATATCCGGCTTTATGAGGTGTCCATTTTGTAGTGAAATTGGAAACGCACTGATGGTACGAAACTTGTTTTCTTCCACGAAGAGATGTACATAGTATGTGACATGCCGAATGCAGTAATTACGACCGGGAATGCAAGTTCCACTCGAACCAGGCCGCCCATATCCCACAACACTTGAAGGTCAAGGGAACTTAACCATAAATTAAAAAAATAATAATAATAGTACTTTAATAACTAAACAAATAAAGGCTAATCCTATACAATTAATACATATTACATACATGCCTGTAACATGCAATAACCATCAGAATATACTAACATATATTACAATAATAACATTATTTATGATAGCCTAGCTCGGAATAGCCCACACGAGCAAGGTCAAAAGTTCGAACAGTGTAGTTCCAGCGAGATCTCAGTAATACACTGTAAAACAGGCAACGAAGTCCATCCCATAACTTTAAAACGACTCAAGGGATACAGAATACAAGAAACTAACCGTAATGCCATGTTGCAATATATATGTATATATAAGTAGTTTACCATACACTATAGGTACGACCATGAGGGCGCTGTTCATATTGGGATGCGATGACGTCATACGGGGATGGATTATGTCACAAGAGGAAACCGTGCATATATTAGCATAAATGAGCGACCATGGCCGTAAAGCGGTTAATTTGAATGAGGATGAGGTCCTAACAAGGTCATCGTGAATATATATATATATAAATCGAATTGTTTTAATGTTTATTGCACAGTGTCTATACAAACGATTTACAGCTACTACCAGATCAGATTAGAGGACGGACGATAGCCCCGGAAGTACTAGGGACGTAGGTCTATATAGTTACAAATGACGAAGCAATGTCAACAGCTATGCTATATGTTATCACAAACAATTTGTACACATTTACCGAATGTGCCCCAAGTGAGTGTGGTTGTATCCGATGCTTGGAAGTCCGAAAAAAAACACTATATGTCTTCGGAGCTTTTACACATTCGTACTTTAGATTTATATTTACATCAGCAGTAATATCGAATGATCGACTGGCGAACAATTTTCAGACAAAAATAATTGTATTTATTTTTACTGACTGACCTCAATCTCATCTGAAACAATTTTATCAAAACGTAAGACTAAACACCGAACGTTTGTTTCAGCCATTGACATGAAACAATTCACTTGACACAGACACGTCGATCGTTTGACGACAAATAACTAAAATGGTTGTTATTGGCCGGTGGCACACAACAAAGGAACAACATAATTCCAATACAATGATGCTGTGCTGTTTGAGTGACCAGTCGCTCTTCCCCGTCCGATCGTAATGAAGTATTCGCATAAATTCCAGTGTCTGACCAAGTTTCAGGAGTGCTTAAGTCCTCCTATTGTCGTTGAGCTGGATGTCAACTGCCTTGTATTTCGATTGTTGGGGTGGAACAAATTAGCATTTGTTTTGTTAGCGACAACGGTAAATGCAAAATCATGTCATGCGACATTAAAAAAAATACGCCAATGAGTGCCGTACACCCGAATTTTAGCTTTCGTGTTCACAGATGAGCCGCTACAGATGACAATAATTTTTAAAATCGTGTTTAAGTAAATCTAAAAAAAATACTCATACATCCCAATTGAATCTTAAATTGTCTTCATTACATAATATTACCGTAACGCAATAAATAAAAGATTTTGCCGGTTTCGGTTGACAAGAGGATTAGTCCTCCTGTTTGTTATTCGCGTTTACAGCCTGCTTCCAGAGATGAAAACACCACGACTTGCATGACTAAAAATACGCTGTCGACCAACCAGACCGACATAATTAGGCAATTGAAATATCGATATACTGTGGTGTCAACTACAAACGCAATAAAGTTAACCTTAAATATACGAAAACATGGTAACAACTACAAAAAACTATAACTCCTAACTACGAATATCTGAAAACATGGCGTTTATTACAAATAACTCTTAACCACAACGTACTTTTCCTGCTATATTTAAGAAACTCGTTAATATAATATGATAAATTATAAAATTAAAACACAGTAATACAGTTACAACTTCTTGTTTTATAGAATGAAAGATCACAGCTCGTTAATTCGATTTGTCTACGTCCACTCCTCGAAAGCAATATATGTTTTCATAGTAACATATCTGTTTACATACTGACACAAAAAAGTACAAGATATTAGCGACTGATGACACCAACATGAACCACAGCATGTAATATTCATCCAATGGGCTGCCTGCTTTTTGGTTAATTATGAAGACCATTGGACTTATGAGGATTGCGTCGATAACACTCACATGACCTTTTGACATCTTGGCAAGCTGGTTGTAAATAAAGATATTGTGTGTGGTTATTAGTCAATATTCAATGTAAGCGATGAGGTGTAAGTAGGATAAGATCACACATAC